AGGGCCGGCAGCGCGATCTGCTGCTCGCAGCCCTGGGCATGAAACTGGGCGCTCGCAAGGCGTCTGTGACAATCTGGCAACCTCTTAAACTCTTTGCTTATTCGCAGTTGACGTCGCTCGTCCGAAGAGCAACTCTGAAGGAGAACGAACATGTTCCAAAATACGAGAAGGTTCATAATTTCAAGGTAAGACGTTTTCCTACCTAATTTCCTTTTCAGGCGCGGGGACTTCGGCTCGTGTTTTGAAATGGGTCTGGTATTGCAAGGAAATCATAAGTATGCACACTGTGACTTTCTAGGAACTTAAAAGCTGCAAGTAAACCTCATTGCCGGTTAAATCAATTAGGCACGTTTAGAACATACAGCGGAGGAGCTGGGGTTTTGCTGTCGGCTGCTTGTGTGCACGCATTTGTTTCGATAATATTTGCCGTATCTAGTTATCTCTTTTCTTTAGAATTGATTTATGCTGAGAGAGATGCTAAAGGTGAGAAGAACAGCAAACTTTTCTTTCAACTCTAATGTAGTCCAGCTTTACTTTCAATGCCAAAAAAAGCTCTTAGATCTATAGTTAGATGATTGAATTGATCTTATCTCAGTTTGTTGATTGTAAATAGCTTTGTAGGTAAGAAGTGTGTTCTGCTGCATCTGGATTGAGCAGATGGTCTGCATTTCCCTTAGTTTCTGGCTTTTCTCCTGTGTCAATGAATTGAGTGTTGAATCCAGCGAGGCATATACCATGAGGACATGCTGGCATCGGCAACTACCTTGTGTTTTAATAAAATTTACTTAGTCTTCTATATAGCTTGTAGTTATTCTTTTAATTGCTTTAAATAACTGGTATGAGAGATGCATATCAATACAACATATTTGTGTTTTGTGTCTGTCTGTAATAGGTGTCCAGTAAGGACTCAGTAATGTAACCTATTGGTGGTCAAATACATTTGGTGATAGGCAGTCTTAATTTTAAGACTACATAAATTGATGTTTTACTGGATTCCTGTAGATGACAGTATAAACTTCATATATATAATTTGAAGGCCAAATGTTGTCTTTAATGTAAAAAAACCCAAAACCATAAAAACTTACTTTTATTCTTTGAAGAGAAGTGCAGATTGTTAATTTAATAGAGGCATCTGGTGATAAAAGCATCCGTTAAATGTCTCCTGTTTTCATTTTTGATTTCCATCACACACATTTGTTGGAATGTGGGAAAGTCCACATGCATGCACATTTATTAATTTACCTATCCTCCATCTGATTTTATTTAAACCACCTTCTAGCTTTTGAGTGCAGATAATCACCAAAAGTGGAAACTTTATATGGTCAGGATGTTTTGTTTCATTTGAGTTCTTCCCTTAAGCACAAATTTGAAAACCATGTACAAAATGGTATGTAAGAAGTGTTTAATATGAATGCTTGACATAACGTAATTGTGCTGGCTGACAGTTCAATGCAGAGCATTTTTTCACAGGCTCCTGAGGTGTCCTAAATATCTGCAACGTCTTGCAATTTTCATTTGTTCCTTAGAGTTTGAAGATAATTCCTGCAGATGCCAGCAGATTGTGATTTTCCATGTACTACAGTGTATGGAGTACAATAAGTATTTCATTTTGCACATCTGTGTTCCCTAGTTGCTTTTCTTTAACAGCCTGAAACACATCTGTTTTGAAAATAATCTGATAACCTGATTTTCATTCATTCGGGTTTGTTTATTTCTTTTTCTTCTATAAACTCCTTATGGAAAGTTTCAGAGCTGTGAGTTTTCCAGTCTTTTCCAAAAACAGACTGTATGTCTGCTCCAAGGTCATAGCCGTGGCACAAACCTTCCACACAGATTGTTTTCTTTATAATAGTTGTACTGTAGTTCCTTTATACATACTGTTGCCAGAAAAATATGCCTTGAGAAGTAAGTCAATTCTCAAGTCAGTGGAATGGAGTCACCTTTCACACATGATTTTTGCTATAAAAGATTAGAAGGGGACAAGAGCCTTACAGGGTGTGCTGCAACCAACCTTCCCACAGAAGAAATGCTGCTGGCGTTCGTGAACTCTAAATGTGGGCACGCTCCCATTAGAATAAAAAGGAAAAACATAAGCTCTTAGTAAAGCCTATATTATGGCTCTAAAATGAACGGCCATCGTTAGCTCACTTGCTTTTCTCCTTTATAATTTCTTTGCATCTGTCAAATTTTTTTCCTCACGTGTATAGATGTCATCATTTAAAATGTCTGCGTGAATCTCCTAGGTTGCCTGCCAAGTAGCAAATCTGCCACCCATGTGGGGAGGAAGGAAATGTCAGGTCCAGAGTCTTCAACCTAGACTTTTGAAGCAAACCAAGAAAAAACAACTCAGAAATTAAATAAATTTATCCAGTTCAGCTAATCAACAATGACTGCTGTCCCCGGGGGCTTCGCAGCAAACCAGGAGGGTGTCCGCTGCTTTGTACCTCTGCAGCTAATCCGCTTTTTGTGCTGCTGGCACGAGGCACCAGATAGGGACCCCTAACCCTCAGCAGCTTCTTTGATCAGTCACATCACTGCTCAGAGAAACGCAGGAGTCTCAAAAATCCTTTTATACTGGAAATGCTGCAGCATCCTAGCAGAGAGTGCACAGCAAGCAGTGATGTTTTCTTGGAGAAGGGAAGGTGACAGCAGCAGCCACTCCAGAGACAGGCTGGGGTCTGCAAACATCCCAGAGACCTGACCACAGGCTAGGGCACCTCAGTTCTCTCTGCTCCCCTGCACCTCCTGACTCTGTGGGGTGTGTAGGTGGGGACACAGGTTTGAACACTCAGATTCTGTTGCCTGCAGCAAAGCTCCGGCAGAGGAACGCAGTGGCAGAGGAGCAGTGTAGTGAACCATCATTACAGGACTGCAGTGCCTAGGGAAGGAAGGGGTGAACATGAAAGCTGCCTTTAATAATCAAGAGGTCTCCTGAATAAATCCATTAACCTATGTTTTGCTCCAAGGGTTGTTTGAAAGAAGAATGTAAAGACAGTTTTACTAAGAGTGCTGACATGGCAGGGTTTTTGAGAGGATTTGATCTTATTTAAATCTCCTGGAATGTGAGTTGTCTCCTGCCTCAAGGGAGCAGGCTGGGTAGCCAGGGTGACAGGGAGCTCTGCAAGCAAAGGTGGTCAGTAATGATCTCCTGCTCTGTAATATTCTCCTGGCTGTGGAAGTCTAGTCTCTTATGAGCACATGTCAAATGCAAATACAGAGTGCCTGAATTCTCTTAAATTAATCTCCATAAGTAAAGAAAGGGATGATTATTTATAAATGTCAGTTCTGAATGAGTTTTAAATGTTTGTCCTGATGAAGGGATGAAAGCTAGGTGTGAAAAGTATTCTACTTTTAAACATATTTTTGCCTTTTGCAATTTATTTAAAAAATAAAATTAATATTTCTGTGTTCTTCTCTATAAATACAGTATAAAAGACCCATTTTCTAATAATTCAAATATATCATATTAAAGAGGCTTACATTGTTTGATACAGAATTTTATTTAGCTCTAATTGAATTATGGAATTTGATGTGTAACTTGATTGGATCTATCTTTTTGCATATTTGGGTTACTTTTGTATTCCCCCCATCTACTGTGCTTTTCTGAAATCCAGCACACTGAATGAGATCTCCTGTAAAATGAATCATTAGACCAAATGAGGACAGGCACTTCACCATCCTCAAAATTTCAGCTCCACCTTTTCTCACAGAAAAGCTTTTGCTTTCTTTCAATTCACTTGCTTATTATGGGGAATAAATCTCCCCATGGTCTGTGGTACAGACATATCAATATGGACAGGGGTGTGTGTGTGTGATGGATATCAAGCTTGTTCTTCTACCCAGTGCAGATGAACAAGAGCATCTTCTGTTTGGAGGCTTTGGGAGACCTGTGCTGTTTGAAGTGCTGACAAGGAGCATAGCTGAAGGCAGTGGGGTTATTTTCTTACAAAAATAATTTAATCATAGGGGAAGGCTCTGTAGCAGAAGAGTTGCAAAGTTCTGTAACTTCACAGAAGTGGACAGAATAGATTCATACCTAATCATTCCCATAAATTTATTCTACCCCTGGATCCTGCCAATAAGAATGCTTTTAACTATCCCTTACAATTCTCATAGTTGCTTATATTGTCCCCAAAAGGCAAGAACTGTGATAGCGTGTAAATGAAAATAAAATCTCTTAGCCAGCTGATATTTAATCTATTCAATAAGTTTAAGAGTAGGAAGCAGCTGGGCACTTCTGGGCAGGAGGATGAAGGAGGAGCTTAGGGCAATAGAGGAACTGCAGATCTGAGGGGAAAAGGGGCCTGTGGCAAGGTGCCATGTGGATGGAAAATGAGAGGAGGACCAGGGGAAGCTTCTGGGTTGGAAGGTGTGAAGTGAGCTCTAGCCCAAAAGACTTAGCAGGGTAATCAGAGCTGTGTTTTCTCCATCTTCTCTCTCTGGTGAGACAGTTTATTAGGGTAGTGAATGCACAGGATTCCCCTTGCTCAGTCCTCTGCACTTGCCCACTCTTCATCTCCTCATCTTGCCATTTCTCCTCTACATCCCATAGTTTTTTGCTGATAAAAAAGGTACATCTAATGAGGTACCTTCTGCCCTGAGTCCACCCTATCTGACATGAAATATCTTCTGCATCTCCTCACCACCTGGTGCTGTGCTTTGGACTTGGGCACTGACCTCACTCCTTCGCCTGCTGTTTGCGTGGGGCTGGGGAAAGAGATAAAACTATGCTCAAAAAATGCTCATGATAAGGAGGGCAGTTGTGGAAGAGAAGCTGAGATTTATGGGATGATACCTTAAAACAAAGAGGAAGGTGAAAATCTGAGATTAACAGCAAGAAATCTCCTGGGTTGTGAAATTTATCAGTCAGTGCAATAACCTCCTCATCACTTGGCAAATTTAAGATAAGCCTGAACAAAACACCTTAAAGGTCTTCACTCCCCTCCAGCTTCTGTGACTCATGGGCCCTGGGGAAGTTTTAGCTCCCTTGGCTGGTTACAGGCATTCTTTCAGACATCCCTGGCTCCTGCTGACTTGAGCCAGCAGAGCACCCTGCAGGTGTTTTCTTACTGCCGATAGTCCAAGGCACAAACCCACTCTTCTGCCTAGATTAGTGCCGTGGTGCTTCACTGAGGCAAGGTGTCTGTGCCTGTCAGGGCTGGACTGAAATCTGTGCTTCCATGTA